AAATAATGGACAAGCTAAAGAACATTGAATCTCTAATTTAAAAAATAATGTCAACATTACCTCGTGGAAAATCAATAATTCTTCGTTGAAACCTAAGTTTTAAGACAATAAGAAACAGTGTTCGACTTAAACTTGAGATCATGAAATTCTCGCTTGATTTGTACAGAGTGCGGAATTTTGGATAGGTACGTTGACATTATTTTTTAAATTAGAGATTCAATGTTCTTTAGCTTGTCCATTATTTTATTGATTTCTTCTTGTTTTTTAAAGTAATCACTAGCTTCGTAGAGTTCTCTTGCTCTAACAATATTGTCATGAGCCAATTGAAAGTCAGATAGCTTAAAGTAAATATCAGCAATATCCAAGTGGCTTTGTGCAACTTGATGCTGGATGTAGTTTTTCTCGAGTTTACTAGCTTTACCGCTAGCAACATGATGTTTCATTCCACATTCAATTTCTTTTTTCTTACAATCGAGTGCAGAACCATAATCTTCTTTCCATTTAATGCAAATTTCACACAAATTCCTATATATAAAAGCGATCTCATCGTATTGTGGATTGTCTTCTAGAAGACATATTTCCGTAAGTTTATTGTAATTCTTAACCGCTTCTTCGAAAAGTAATAGTGATTTTTGTAAACCAGCCAAATATATAGCCAGGGACTTTACTCGTGGGTGATTCGATGGATAGTATTTCGACAGTTCATTTAATTTCAGTTGTTCATATTCAGTAGCTTTTAATAAATTTGCTCTCCTTTCATTTTCATCAACGGCAATTTCCGCTTTCTTCTCGTAGTACCAAATTATCAACTCGTGTAATTTAAGCATATAGGCTTCATTTGCTGTTTCTTTAAGTGAACTGCTTAACAGAGTAATTGCATAATCATAATGTTTGTTTGCAATACTGTAATCTATTATTCTAGTTTTATAAATATCGGCAATTTTTCGATGAATATTAGCGATATTAACAGCAGCGTTTAATTCATTATCATCAAGATATTGTTCCCAAATTTTTATTCCTTTTTCGTAGTATGATAGTGCTAGATGATAATCTTCTGCTGTATACGCATAGTATTTTCCCAATATGCATTGTTTATGTCCTTCTATCCACGTTGTTTCCTGTGGAAATAATTCATTCAATTCAGCAAAAATCTTATTTATATCGTCCAACTCACCATCTGACAAATACTTTGAAGCTGTATTAATACAATTATTTAGATTTTCTCGCAGAGTCTGCGTTTTCACTTCTATTAAATCTTCCTCATCATCTTCTGGTACTCGACTATCGTCTTGCACTTTTAGTTCTACTGAATAGACATTGATGTTATTATTGTAAGTTACTTCAGTTATTTCTAAACAAGTTCCTATCATTAGAAGAACTTCATTTTCATCAGAGATTGCGGATATATGTGAAATATTTGCAAAGGGGAAAGATTGTTCGCGAGTGTCTAGTTCTATTTTCAGTATTATTGGACAATAACCTTCCGGGATATCCGATGATTGTGTGAATATATCAGCTATTGAGGGTTCGAGCGACGTGGAAAAGAAACTGTTAAGAATTACGCCCAATCTATATTCTGTACTTTTTATGAATTCAATTTCTTCCAAGGACATCAGTTGTCCTCGATAAACAGAAATGTTTGGTTGATCGCGGTGATTTGACTTGAAAAGTTTATATTCTGCTTTTAGTTGATTGTAAATGTCTTTTACGAAAAATCCAAAAAGGAACGTTACTTCAATGTTTTGCTGACGAAGAGCTTTATTCAGTAATCTGTAGAGAAATGTATCTTGCGTGTACCACTTGACAGCAGTTCGTGCTTCATAAGTTCTTTCAAATTTGTCTAATATCTTTAATTCAACCTCTTTGCCTTGATAATAATCGCGTAAAGCAAAAACAAAGCGCTCACGACAGTTATCTGGATATGATAAAGTACAAAGCATTAGAATAAAACTTGGCCACCAAGACCAGCTACTATCAGTTGAGCTATTTTGTCTACCAATATCAGTGAAAATGGCACCTTTCTCTTGCGACAGATACACATTTACATCTTCAGCTAAATGAGAAATTAACAGCTGCACATCAGTGACTGCGAGCTGAACCTAAACAGTCATAAAAAAACCAGTAGTGTGAAATTTGAAACTTGAATTCAATTGAAAATTATCCTTCAACTGAGATTACTTCAAGTTTCAACTTTCAACTTTCATTTATCTACTTAATCAACTTTCAATTCAACCTCAACTTTTAAGTTTCAAGTTTCAACATTAATTGATCTAGTTGTTCAACTTTCAATTCAAGTTTCAAGTTTCAAATTTCATTTACCTAGATGCTGTCCTCACCCTCACACGGAGCTGTTGCCCATCAGCCACGACCTCGTCCTCACCCTCAGGTAGTGCTATTGCCCACCGGCATGACCCCGCCCTCACCCTCACTGTCAGGCAGCTCGGGTGCCCACCGAACACGACCTCATCATCACCCACGCTTTCGTCTTTTGAGACTTGGAACTTGAAAGTTGAATTGAAAGTTGAAACTTGAAGTAATCTCAGTTGAAGGATAATTTTCAATTGAATTCAAGTTTCAAGTTTTACATGTATGCACAGGAAAGGACGATGGCAGGTAAGCCAGTATCAAGTAAACAAAAAGAAATCAATAAAAAAACTTACATGTTCGGCATCAGCGTGAAAAACTGAATATTTTTGACATTTCAAGTTTTCAAAAAACGCATTTTCACTTTTCTCGGTTTTTTTACGGCCTTGCATCGAAAAAATTTTTTTCTCGAGAAAATTCGAAAGACCCATCTTCTGATGCAGAATTTGGCGCTAATCGCGAATACGTGGTCAAAAATTGAAAAAACACGAGCTTTTATGTAGAAAATGCAGAAAACCGAAGGATTTCTGAAAGCCGTTTTCCTAGATTTTCGAATTTTTGTGCAACAAGACAATTCCAATGGATTAAAAATACATTCAGCTACATTATAAACAATGTCCAATGTTATCATTATTCTGAAAAAGCTTCTAAAAGACAATTTTAATGGGAAAAATGCGCTCGAAATGTAAAAAATCGTGAAATTCTTCAGGTCGTCCACCAATAACTTCTACAAAAAAGCTGGAAGGAATTCGAAACTTTGGTCATATATCTGCCTTCTTAAGGTAAATCCAATGAAAAAAAAACTTCAAAAGAATGTGTGCGTCATAGTAAAACACGCAGCTGATTTTCTAGAAACTTGCTAAAAAAACCCGAAATCTTATCAAAAATCAATTTTTGTTGAGCACAATGAAATATCGTTTAGCTTTAGACAGAGTAACATTTAAATGAGCCCTCTACATCTTTCCTGTCAAAAACTCTAAGTGTTTGAGCCTTTCTCTAGTTGAAAGATTTCCTGAAATCGAGTAAAAGGTGCGGACA